CTGAGTAGTTTCTGAGTTTTCTAGTCATACTTGACGCTATGCACATCTTCCGAAGTGACAGTCCAGTCAGGCCCTTGGTGAAGTCAGTTGTGTCTCCACTGTGTCCTGTCACAGGAGGAAAGACTCTTGCTCAACTTATTCAAATGACTATTGTTAGGGTCTGTAAACAAGACAAGATGGCGCCTGGCATTTTGCCAGAGGGAGTGGTTTGTGAAAAGTGTGGAGATTCCTTATTGGTTGACTGCTGTATCTAGTTTATGTTAATTAAGATAAGCTGTGTGGAATGTATACCCCTCCTGTCCTACAATAAACGGCTCCCACTCCTGCTATATCAATGTACACAAGTTCCTCATCACCACCACCCCCCACCCCCACACCCCGGTTATTTTGCTGCAGCGGGACTGCGGCAACTATGTTGCCTGGAAAATAAAAATACTAACCATTTCCAGATTCTGTAGGAATCCAATAGGGAGGGAAATTGTTTCATCTCCGTTCACAAACATATACCTAACCCAACTGTCATGAGCTACAGATAATTTAGGAGGAAATAAAAAATGTTACTTAAATATGGGAAACATTAAAGGAAAAGCAATGTTTCTTACAACAAAGCCATAAAGAAACAATAACTATTCAGTGTATTCAGCTGCTTTTAACTATCTCTTGTTCTGTAGTAGTATGGGGGTCAGAGTTTAGGGGACCAACTGTTTCTTCCCTAGAGTTCTAGAAACTCCTAACAGGTTGGTTGGTATGATCTTGTCACAGGAAAGTGGGGGTTGAAGCTCCAAATCTCATTTCTTGTGTCCCAGTGAAAGAAAATTCAGACCAATGTGAAAAGTCAAGAAAGAGAATTTTATTAGGAGTGAAAGTGGAGTCAGGTTCAAGCAGAGAACACTAGAGAGCTCTCATCACCATATACTAACTAGAATTCTCAACGCTTAGTAGCTAATTTTTAGAAGGCTGTGTTTCCTTGCAGTTGAATTTTCAATGTGGCCCAAGATATGTTTGCTGACAGATCCAGAACCGGAAACCAAAAGTGGGTAACTCGTGTTCAACAATTAAAGCTTTAGTATTGGATATAGACATGACCTAGATACCCAATGACTACCCGTCAATCAATTTAATGAAGCAAAACTCTTAGAGTTCAATTTACCAAACAAGCAAACAAAGATAGCCATAATCAAGCTTTCTGTCGGATATGTTCACAGCATGTCAATAAAACCGTGTATCTGCGGTTATATTTAATGCCGACACTCTGAAGTAATACCTGTTTTCTTTTCTTTTAAAGAGAGAGTGAGGGAGAGGGAGAGAGAGAGAGAGAGAGAGAGAGAGAGAGAGAGAATTTTTTAATATTTATTTTTTAGTTTTCGGCGGACACAATATCTTTGTTCGCATGTGGCGCTGAGGATCGAACCGGGCCGCACGCATGCCAGGCCAGCGCACTACCGCCTGAGCCACATCCCCAGCCCAATACCTGTTTTCATTAAGCCAACAAATCTAGCTTTTATTTACTGAAGATTATTCGAGATCATGAGATCTTGAAATACATTTTGGATTAACTCCCATTTTTCTAAGAATTTAAGGAGTACAGATGTTTCTCAACCTATGATGGGATTCCAAATAAACCCATCCTAAGTTGAAAACTCCATAAGTTGAAATGTACTCAGGACACATACTTACTGAGTATCATAATTTAGCAAAACGACTGACTGAAAATTGTCCTTACGCCAAAGACGCAAGTCCTGGAGACCAGCCCAACTAGATGGGCAGCTTTCCAACCCAGCTTGTTCTTTCTAACTAGGCTATGGAGTTGGGGTGCTGCCCATTAAGGCTCTCCTACCAGGACTCAGCATGAAGAGGCCAGACTGGCTTGCCACGTTTATAATATCGAGTGACAGGCCTGTCAGGAATGCTGCAATCATCTTTCTCTGGCCTACCTGTTCTGCCACTAGGAGTTTATTCATGAGGTAGCCAATGATGTGGACTCAGAAGATCAAGCCTCAGGTTGTGTTTGCAGGGAAAGGCTTAGGGATACCTAAGGGACAAAGAAACCTGGGGGCCTAAGGCATGGGGAAAGGTGATTGGCAGCCTGGGCGTAATAATCAAGCTTCATAGGACCCACGCTCAGCAAGTGGCTCAGCAAATGGCAGCGTATGCAAGCTCTGAGGATGGAGTTCAGTCCCTATGACACCAAAAGGTCATGCATGAGATTCAAGCACAGGCCCAAGTGAAGGATGGGTGGGTCCAACAGGTTTGTACCATCAAGTTGCTGAAAAGCATCTCAGGCAAACTTTACCATCATGATCCATACATACGCCAGAGCGTCATCCACAGCAAAGCTATTGGGAGAGTGCTACAGCTAAGTGGCCTCTGGAGTTGGTGACAGGGCAGGCGACTGAAAGCAAGTGACCTGCAGGTTCACTGGGTTCGGAAACCTACACACCTACTGACTAGAGCCCCAGAGGCATGGGTTCCAGGTTCCCTGGCTCTAGATGAACCCAGCACCGCTGTCCTCTGTCACCATCCCTACAAGAGGGTTCCCACGGGACCCAGCCTAGCTCCCATAGCAGCAGTACAATACAGCATTGCTTTTGTTGAGATTTGCATTCCCAGTTCAGATAAAAACTGCTCAAATAAAAATCCGAGAACTCACCACAAGTTATAGAACTTGTTCCAGCCAATGGCAAGTTCCAAATGCTTAGGAAGAAACAGTGACCACAGCTCAGCAAATGAAGTAGGTTTAGTATGCACCAATCACAAATGTGTGTGAATCCAGAGACAGAAACACTCATGTAATGAGTTACATAAAGTGGTTTATTACCAATAGACAGGCAGCCCTGGACAAAAGCAGCCTAGGATCCATTGTGGGCCAGTCCCCAAAGCTCAGAAAGCTGCCTGGCAAGAGAATCTTGAGTTCAAAGCCATCCTCAGCAATTTACTGAGGCCCTAAGCAATTTAGCGAGATCCTGGCTTTAAACATAAAAAAGGGTCAGGGATGTGGCTCAGGTGTTAAGTTCCCCTAGGTTCAATGCCTGGTCTTTAAAAAAAAAAAAAAACCTGCCTGAGGCAGAAGAAATTTCAATTGAACACAGATGAGGGTCCCAAAGGCAGCCTGCTGCCCATCTCAGGGTCACACCAGTCAGGGAGCTCAAGCACTGAAGGACAGCCCACTTCTAAGGGAGGACGGAACAGTGAATCCCTCCCTACCTCAAGATATTACATTCCCAGGGAGTTCTGCAGTTAATCTTGAGCATTATAAGCAAGAAAGGGTCAAGAAATGGGTCAGTCCAAGGCCACCCAGAGAACAGTCATGCAGTGAAACACCAAGGCCTATTTACTCATTTCTCCCAGGGGCTGTGCATGGTGAGGGTTGGGGACAGCCTCACATCCCACTTCTGACACTAGAACTGTTTAAAAAAAAAAGAAATCAAAGTTTATCAGAATTTATGTGAGTAAAAAACAATTCACGAATGCAGCAGCATGTGGAACTGGAAGAGCTCTAAGGAGCTCATTTCTGCAGCATGAGGTAAGATTCTAAAGGCCACGCAGACAAAGCCCAGGAATCAAAAAAATCAGACAAAGCCCTGGCAATAGCTAGGCGTGGGCCATATTTGGGTGCCATCCAGTAAGAAGTCCCCAGTGGGGAGCTGGCTGGCACTCTCTGACTCCACGACTTTTGTTTTATTGTTTACATTGAATTGGGTTTTGATTTGCTTAAATTGGAGCTCCAGTTATAGACAAGCTAATGATCTCCTTCCTTTAACACACAGCTCTCTGAATTTGAGGGGAAGCTGAAGGGGTCCAGCACCCCAACAACAGGTACATGCCTAGAAGCCACCAACATAGGACTGACCAAGTAACCAAGACCTGGTCCCGTCCTCCTCGGGCAGCAGGGCCAGCTGCAGTCAGACAGGAAAATGATGGCCTGGCCACCGCAGCAGCTCTTCATTCGTCCTGTGCTGACCAGCATGTGGCCCACTCGGTGCCAGGCACTGTTCTAGGCACCTCGGACAAGGTGGGCCAGCGAAGTCCCTGCTGTCCAAAGCCAATTCTAGTGGATGCTGAACATATAGGGAGTGGTGTGAGTTTTACAAAAACGGGCCAGCAGGAGTGCCCGGACACCCTGTTAGGGGAACAGACACCCTGTTAGGGGGCAGAGGAAGCCACGCTGAAGAAGGAGTGCTTGGGTTAGACTAGTGATGAGGAGCCTATCAAATAAAACACAAAGGTGTGGCTCGGTCAGGGGAACCGGAAGCGCCAAGTGCTTCTGGTGCGAGCTGCTCATTGCTCAATTTTCAAGAAACGGGTACTGCGGGTCGGCACGTTTTCGGTTGCTGCCCAGCACCTGAGGCTGCGCGGAGCGTGGGTGGCGCTCCTCCAGCCCCCGGGCCGCACCTGGCAAGGCCTCGCACCAGGGAGGGGCCGGCAGGCCGAGCAGCCCCCGAGCGCGGGCGGCAACGGTACCCTTGCACTCCCCAGGGTGCTACCTCCAAGCACCACCGACGTGAGCCGAGGGGCGACAGGGGAAACCGCAGGGCCGGCCCACCCCGGCGAGGGCCCGGCCTCGCTGCCATGTTCCTGGCAGGAAGACGTCCTCGGCCCCCGTGGGGGGCTCCAGGCACACCCGGCGTAAACGGGCTGTCTGCCCGCAGGACCCGTGGCCCTCCAGCTCCTGACACTCCGACCCAAAAGCGCTGGGCCAGAGCCCCACGTGGGGAGGCCGCGGGCCAGACGGAGATGCGCCGCCCAGCACGCGGCCCCGGGGTCTGGGGCACTCACGAGCCTCGGGCACCTTCCGAGGCGGGCGCCTGGGACCCAGACCCCTAAGCGACCCCAAACACGGCGGAACCGCGGTCACGCGCGGCATCTGGGGAGGGCCCCCGCCCAGACGCCATCGCGGCCCCACCGGCCGCAGCGGAAGCGGGCGCGCGGTGCCCCGCCGCGCTTTCGTCATGTTGCCGAGCACCTCCGGAGAACAAGAAAACAATGTGGGTCCCCTGAGCACGGCCGCTCCGACGGCGGCAACGCGTCGGAAAGCGAAAAGGAAGGCCTACGTATTTTCCAGCGGCTGAAACGGCTCCTGGCCCTGGCGAATCTGCCACTACCCTCGCCGGAAGTGCGGCCCTCCTGCCGGAAGTCGAGCTTCCTCCATTTTGTGGCCCGCCATGGCGGCGGTGTTAAGGTTGCGGCCGGGATGCGGCGCCTTTGACTGAGGGGGTAGGCCAGGCGAGCCATCGGGAACGTCGCGAGGAGCAGCAAAGGACCGGCCCGGACGCCGGGGACGCTGTCATGTACGGCGCGGGCGGGGGCCGCGCCAAGCCCGAGAGGAAAGGCGGCGCGAAGGAGGAGGCCGGGCCCGGTGGCGCCGGCGGCGGGGGCAGCCGAGTGGAGCTGCTGGTGTTCGGCTATGCCTGCAAGCTGTTCCGGGACGACGAGCGGGCCCTGGCCCAGGAGCAGGGACAGCACCTCATCCCCTGGATGGGGGACCACAAGCTCCTGATCGACAGGTCGGTCGCACCCCCCACCCGCCGCCCCTGCCGCCCTCCCTTCCCCCGCCGCGGGTCCGCCTGGCGCCGACGTGGGGTCCCGGCGTCCGGGGGGCGGGATTGCGTCGCCCGCCCCAGGGCTCCGGCTGCAGCCGGCGTCACGCCTGTCGCCGAAGGGATCGTCTCTGCCGCGCCGCGCCGCGCGCCCCGGGCGGCCGCCGGCCACGAAGCGCGGTGGAGCCACGGGGTCGGCGCCGCTCGGCGCCGTGCGGCGGCCGCCGGGAGCGCGCTTTTGTTCTCCGCGACGCCGCCCTCGGACCCCGCGAGTTAGCCTGCGGCCGCCCCGGCCAGCAGGACCCGGGCGGTGGGCGAGGCCCCGCGCGGCCGATACCCTGCCGCAGCGGCGTCCCTGGGGCTGGGCCGCTGCGGGTTCTCTTCCGGTGTCACCGCCCGGGGCGGCGGAGGGCCGGCTGGCGGCCGAGTGTGTGGTTGGAAAGGGCGACGTACGTGCTGTAGGGTGTTTGCTCCCCGCTCGCTTCCCTCCCTCTCCCCGGGGTGCTGGGATGTCCCTGCCGCTCGGGCAACACTACTTCTGGGGCCCGGACTGAAAGGCTAACCGTGGAATAGTCTCTCCGAGTGAAGGAAGCCGTCGTTTGAGACGATTAGAACTGGATTCTGCAAAGCCCTGGAACCTGACTGTAGGGATGACCTCTGAGCTGCCCAGAATGGACACAGTAATGACCAAATAGGCCTTTTTCCGTCCCTGACATTTCCATTTGGAGGTAGAGCTAGGAAACAAGGACTCCGAGAAGGGAGGGTTGCAGATCAGATCGGCTCTGGATCTGATGCTCCACGCTCTGCTCAGACGTGCTGTGCCTTTGAACTGCCATTTCTATGGAACGATGTTGCCTGAGCTCTCGGGCTTGCTTTCCAAAGTGTGATTTGTAATGTGCATTATTAAAGTTCGGTGAGCGCTGGTGTCTCAGCTCTTCATGCAGTTTCCATGTCATTCTGTACATGATTTGACTTAGGTCTCTCAAGACTGGTGGGGAGCAAACACTACACATGTAAATGTGTAATATTTTTAAATAATAATTTACATTTGTAAGTTAAGGAGGTTTACATTAAAATAAATCTAATTTTAAATTTTAATAAAATGCAATAATTTGGGTTCCCTGGTATCCCCCCCCATTAACTTGGTCACCATTACAAAAGTCAGCATTAAAAAATCAGGCAGACTTTTGTTGCTCAATATTTGCTTCTGTGACCCAAAATCTGAGTATTTTAAGTAAAATTAACCGACTCACTCGTTTTCTGACAGTTGTACGTTGACAGCATTTTCATTGAATCTTTTCATGTTAAAAGTATAACAGAAAGTGCTTTTGTCCTTGGGTTGATGAGGGACCTATTGGTCCATGCCAGAGAAGCATGGGTGTGTCCTCATCTGTGTTATTTCCTGGGGTATCAAGTTCAAAAGGAAGTACTGATACGCGTCTTCTAATGGTTTTTGCCTGTTCCAGTGAACCTCCCTACACTGCATGTATATGTCGCTGTTCCTATGTATGTGTGTCTCTCTACCACGTAACCCAGCACTTATTTCCTCAGCCAAGTGGCTAGGGGCGAGAGCCTAGCCAAGATTTTACCTTCCATGGACGCAAGTTTCTTTGATGAAGATCTCTCCTGAGAGTTCGGGACTAGCAGAAAGAAGCGAGGAAATTTCGACCGTTTGGTTCTTACGGATAGGTATTTATGTATTCGGTTTGTGTGAATGTAAGCTATGATATTTAACTTTTCAGAAAAAAAGTTTTTTGTTTTTTTGTTTTTTTACAAGTGGCATTGAATGGTTAATCAAACCATGCACGGTAAGAACTGCTAGTGAGGCAGATGCCATTTACGCTTTAAAGGATTGTCTGCCTTTAATTATGAGTTTTATCGTGCTATACAGTGGAGTTACACTTTTTTAAGATAACTTGAGTTAATCAGTAGGAGAGATGACTAGCCACATGAAGTGTAAGTCTGAGCAGTTTTGCATTTCCCTTAATACTTTTACTTTATTATTTTAATCGGTAAGTACACACATCGAGTGCCACACGCCACCAGCCTAGGCGGTGACTTCTGTGTGCTGACCAGCGTATTCGCATTACAGATACGATGGGCGTGGTCACCTGCATGACCTCTCTGCGTATGATGCCGAGTATGCCACTTGGAACCGAGACTACCAGCTATCTGAAGAGGAGGCGCGGGTAGAGGCGCTGTGTGATGAAGAGAGGTATTTAGCCTTGCATACGGACTTGCTTGAGGAGGAGGCAAGGCAAGGTACTGCTCAAGAAAGACTTATTTCAGCCACAACTTTAAAAATTTTTAAGTATTTAAAAGTTTACTCCCATTCATTTTTTTATACTCACTCTTTCTGATATTATCTTGACAGTACCCAGTGGATTGGAAAAACAGGAGTCTTTGCGTTCTGAGAGGACCTCAGGATAGTTTATATATAGAGCCACAAAGAATTTTCCCAGCTTTTGAGGGCAGACTGGGATTTGAAAAAACAAAAACCAAACTCTTTAACTGTTCTTCTTTAACAGTATCGTATGAATTAAAATTGATGTTCTTGTCTTTGCCTTAACAATCTTTAATACAATTCTTAATCCCAAAATTTTCTCAGCAGGAAGAAATTTTCCACAAAAGATGTGTATTCTGCTTTCTGTGGGTAAACACTTACTGGCAAAAGTATATATTGATAGACATAAAGTGTGCGTTTCTAGAAACACTTTTGCCTCAAAAGAAGGTTGAAAAAAATGTGTTGTTTGCTTTATCGATAGCTACAACTTTAGAAATATATGAAATTTTTCTCAGTAAGCTTCCATTTTTGTTAACAAAGTTCTTGTTTTTATTCAAGAGGAAGAATACAAGCGGCTGAGTGAGGCGCTGGCAGAGGATGGGAGCTACAGTGCCGTGGGTTTCACTTACGGCAGTGACTATTACGACCCATCCGAGCCAACGGAGGAGGAGGAGCCTTCAAAACAGAGAGGTGAGCAGGCCCTGACTAGAGCACCCCGAGCTTTTGTGGGGCTCCTTCTGGTGGGGTGGATCAGCACTAGAACATGAACTGCCAACAGGCAGGTTGTGAACTCAGACTCATTTTCTGCACTGGATCCAAGTTGCCTGCCCAGGCAGGGGCGACAGCAGACTTCCTCTGGATCCTGTTTCTGGATTGGTAGTACTTGTGGATGTTCTTGCCTTTGTCTGGCAGCAGCAGCAGAGGGTGGGCAGCAGCCTTTCCTTCACGTGGCCTACTTCTGATTACCCCTCATAGCTGACCTGATGACCAGTGTCCAGTGGAAAGACATCCCTGGAGTTTGTTCATGTAGCACAAGAATTTTAGCATAAGATTAAAGATTTCATATGTGCCTTCCTGGATTAACTCTGGGAACTATGAATATACAAAACCATGCTACAAAGAAATCCAGGCTCCTCTAATACAGCAGGAAATGTCCTTGTCACTTTGTAAGCCCTGGGAGCACCATTACCAATTTGTCACTGCCATCCGCAGTTGTGTGAACCAGAGGCATTAAGGACAGGTTGCGCTCATGTAGGGTATTCTGTTGCAAAGGAGAACTTTGGAAACCCATTTAGATGTTGAACAAACTGGATCACATCCTACAGAGACTTCATGTCAGAGCTAACTGAGTCTGTTATTTGGGACTTGATTGGTTTCTGCTTAAGTAATACTCGTGAGGCGTCGGAGCAGCCTTGTGGGGGGCCTCCCCAGCCATCCACTGAGGAGTGGTGGCCATGGAGGAGCAGACCAGGCACGCAGGCACTCGGGCTTTCCTTCCACCTTATACTCATCATCTGGGCAAAAGCGTCACACGCACAGCTCTGTTTGGGAACACGGAGAGAGATCCTCCAAGTGAGATCATGACGTGCTGAGCTCAAGACTGGTGGAGGAACTTAGCAGTTTGCATTGGCTTTGAAACCTGATAGTCCCTTTCGTGATCATCGTGATGTGCTGGAAATGTTGCAGATCTGAGAAGTAAATGTGCATTTATCCAAATTAAGCTATTCTTGGAAGTTCTGGATAGTTCCAATGCAGTTGTCTCTTCTCTGGACCACATCCATTATTTCAGTTTGAAACGCATAAGGTTTTTACCAGAAGGCAAGAATACCAACATTTCACAACTGAAGAGTTAAAATGTGTAAAGGCCTCATGTCTTTTATGGCAATAATCTTTAGAAGAGTCCCTTACATTAACTTCCTAATATTCTAGATCAGGCACAGGCAGCCATGACTGCAGGCCCAGTTCCCGGGTTTGTGTCTGTAGGATTTCATCAGAACAGCTGAGCTCTTTTGTTCTGTCTGCTGCCAGTTGGGGCTTTGGCAGGCATGAGGCTGAGATAGACCCTGGGCCCACAGAGCCATTTCACAGTTGTCCTCCTGTTCTAGAAGTTGGGCCATTGTTTCAATGTAATTATTGGGCTGAGAGATAATAGACTGTTACACTTTCTAAATTTTGCAAACAGTGTATTTCTTCACTTTGTCTTCTGTTAATATAAAATACTCTTTATAAATGGTTATTGGGCTCCTGGGAAACTTAGAGCTTGGCATTTTATGTTTAATTTGCACTAATATAAATAAAACACCACCCCCAACACACACAAACACCCTCAAATGGGATTCATTTTGGTGCCCAGTACCACTAGCAACCAAGTTGAATGTTGTTTCTTTTTCCAGTAAGGGGGACTGAACTTAGGGGCACTCACCAATAAGCTGTATTCCCATCCCTTTTTATTTTTTGTTTTGAGGCAGGCCTTACTAAGCTTCCTAGGGTGGCCTTACACTTGTAATCTGGTTTGCCTCCTGAGTGGCTGGGGATCATAGACAGGGGCCACTGCATCTAAAGTAGAAGATAAAATCAGATTTTTCCATGTCAGCAGAATCTCTAAATAGTCCTTGGTTTTTAAAATAACTTACTTTAACACCTTTTAGTATCTGTAACCCTGTGGTGTCAGCCAAAGGCGCTCTAACGCCTCTGTTTTGCCTGACCTCACCTCTCCTCTCTCTCATTAGCACAGTATTTTTCATCCTGGTCACAGTTTATTATCGTTAAAGATCCTTTGTTTTTAAGTATTTTTTCCAGTGCTGGGGCTTGAACCCAGGGCCGTGCGCGTGCTAGGTGCGTGCTCCAGCCCTCTGCCACATCCCAGATCTGCATGTGCATGTTCTGATAAGAAAAGGCTATTAGAATATGTGAGTCTGTGTTGCAATGGTAGATTTTTACTTTGTGTCACTGAAAATAAAGGCCTGTATGAGAACAGAATGACCCATTTGACCTGTCTATCCCAGGGAAGGCCTTCAACTAGAAGGCCTTGACTTTTCCACGTCTTAAGGTTACAAAAAAGCTATTTGAAAAGACAGAATTTTAATTGCTTTTTTTACTTTTGAAAAATGCAGTAAGAATTGTTTTAAACACATACACCTGGCCTCCTTCTCAGAAAGGTTCTGAGGAAGCTTAGCTCAGTTGTCACTTGGCTTTTTCTTCCCAGTGGAAGATCTCACAGACCTTGGTTTCTGCTGCCTGCAACTCCACTCTGTTGTTTGGCTGCTGGAGCTAGACAGTGGCCTTGCCAGACATGGGGGTTTAGGCAGTAGTAGCTCTGCCCTCCACTCACCCTGTCCTTAGTGTGTGCAGAAACAGGTGGGGCACAGTTCATCCTCTGTTACAGTTGACTTGCATCTCAGGTGAGAACCCCGAGTGTTCACCTACAGGGACACCTGCTCACAGCTCCCCTAGGTTCACTGAGGAATTAGACTTGAAGAGATGTTGGCAGATTGTTGACTTAAGAGGCTGCGCTGTGTGTCATGAGAACGTTTATTTAGATGAGGATTTAGTGTTTGGTTCTTTTATCACTTTTTTGGGAATAAAAACCTAAGTAAAAGTTGAAATTCATTAAAATGTTGGGTTTTTTTTTCTAATTTTGTGCTGATTTTTGTGCATTTCACTATGTCCCTTAGGTTGATAGTCATCTGAATTGTTGGTAAATTGGAATATCTTAGAATTCAAGAAGTTTTAATTGTAAGGCACCTTATCTAACACATAGTAGGCAGATATGGATATTAATAATGAGTAGAATTGAAGTGATACATCCGACTGTGGGAAAGCAGTAGTTTGCTTGGGTGGAGAAGTCATGATGTTGTTGTTTAGGTTTTTGCAATCGGATGATCAAGGTTGAGTTGTCCGGGGGGTGTTACCTCGTCTTGTACCTAGTGCCCCAGAGTCTGCAGGAACAGTGCCAGTTCAGTGCAAATGTGTGTGGCAGGGAGGCTGGGCAGCACAGAGCAAGGACTTTGGCCAAGAGCCTGCTCGGAGTCCAGTGTTCTGCTCTGGCTGAGGTCATATGGGTTGGCTCACACTTCACATGGCCCTTGGAAACCAGAGCCAGGAAATGGCAGGGTTGGGACTGAGGCTGGCAGGATCATCTGCACCACCAGCCTCTTGGGAACTCATTATGTGAGTCTACTTCAACATGGTGGGATCCTCTCCACAGTGTTTCAGAAGGAGCCACAGAAAGGAAGAGCCCATCACTGCTCTTCCCTGGGTGCTGTATGCTGTTGGCAGGAGCCTTCTTCTCTGGTTATTGTTCTGAAGGTCTCAATTTTCTTTTTTAATAGAAAAAAGCGAGTCTGAAAATTTGGAGGAAAATGAAGAGCCTTTCATCGCCCCTCTAGGACTGAACGTTCCATCTGATGTGGAATTGGTACGTATGCTTCTGCAAGCCCCTGCAGTGGGTGGCCACTTGTTGTTCTTCAGTGCTGTGTGTGAGGGCACAGTGACAGTGCAGCTGCCATTTAGGTGAACCAGGTTGCAGTCATTTGTGAGTTAATGGGGGAAAAGGCCACTTCCTGCTTGCTTTCATTTGAAAGAACGATGAAGGGATTGTAGCAAAATAACTAGGGTAGCTTGTCAGCACGTTGTGTGGACCCCAGGGGCTGTGTGGTTGAGTCCCGTGATCTGGACAGCGTGGCCAGCATGTCAGAGTTGGCGGAGAGTGTGGCGAGCACACACTGGTGGAGGTTGCATGCTCAGGGCAGCGTTGCTCGGTGCTGTGCGTCCTTCCAACTTTTCCTGGTGTGGTTTTTGTGGGCTCCTGGCCTTGGCTCTACATGTTCTGGGTACTCACCTCCATCATGAGTAGCCCTGCACTGCAAGTCCTCTGTAGCTGGTTGCTGTTGGGTGGAGTCCCCAGGATGGCCCTTGTCTCAGCCCGAGGCTTCAGTTGCACCTTGTTGAACTCAGGTCCAGTTACAGTGGCCTTAAAGCCAAGCCAAGGCTACTACTTGAGGTATCTCTGTATTCCAGCGCTGTGCCAAGCTGCTGCTTGTGGGTCTTCTCATTTGATGCTGATAGCCCTCTGAGATAGCGTTGTTACTCTCCTCCTTGCAGATGAGAAACAGACTTAGGAAAGTCAAGAACTCTGGCTCATGCAGCAGGCAGGAGCCTGCAAGTCTCCTTATTGTATTAGAGGTGTTTGAATGTGGAAAGTTTCCCAAGTGCTCATGCACAACCAAGAGCTTTCCCTTGCCTTGCCCTTGCCCTCCGCAGCTGGGCTGCAGGTGCTGCACTGCGGGCCCTCCAGGCCTTATCTGTGTCTGGCAGAAGATGATGTCTCTTAATCTCTGCATGTGTTGCTGCACTGCCTCTGTAGTTCACAGCAATGTGACAGTTCTTGTGTTTTTTTCCTACCCCCTATCCTGTGAGCAAAGGAGATGATCGCCCTCAGTTCCCGCTCAGGCCCAGTGCCTCTCAGGGATTTGCTCATGTCTCCAGCTCTTCCCAACATGGGCTGTGTCTCTGGGTTTTGTCTCTGGTCAGTGCCGCTCAGGTTTGCTCCTGTTTCCAGCTTGTGACTGTTGTGCTGTGGTCAGAGCTGAAATATCACGTGCAGACTGATGACTAATGTCCCCAGACTCCCATCAGCAGGCACTGGCCATGTTGGCATGTCCTGGGTTCCTGAGTGATCATTCTGCAGGAGAGACCCACCAGAATTAACCCTTGAATATCACATTTGCTGTGTTAGCTACAATTCATACTAAAAGCATTTGCTTGAGGCTGACTCTAGGGAATATCACTTATTTTTATATGATTTTTAAAGTTTCTATGTAAATATAAACTTAGAAGTATGACAGAAATTTCTTGCTTTAATTTCTATTAGAATATTTAATGGCTGTTGGAATCCTCCAGAACCAAAACACTTGCCACCCAGAGGAAAGCAGGAGTGGCCTCCGCGAGAAGCACAGGCTCTCAAGGGTTAGTTTCCTCCAGCGTCCACTTGGAGGCCCCTGGAGTGCAGGGTTTTGCCATGTGGGTGCTTGGTTGAGTCTCGGCTTGGCGTCTTCCGTTTCTTCTGTGGCAGTGCCTTGTTCTTCAGTCATTGTGGTTTCTGACATAGGCTTGTTGTATAAACTGCTCTGGGGTGTCCATGTTGGTAGGAAACATGGCGTGGAAGGCCATGCTGGCCTGTGGTGGCTGTGTCACGAAGGCCATGTGGGAGGCTGTGGTGGCCATGTCGTGGAGGCCATGTGGGGCGTGGTGGCCGCATCGTGGAGCCGTGTGGGGCTGTGGTGGCCATGTCGTGGAGGGCGTGAGAGCCCGTGGTTGCCGTGTCATGGAGGCCGTGTGGGAGGCCGTGCTGGCCTGTGGTGGCCGTGTCGTGGAGGGTATGCGGGGCTGAGCTGGCAGGATGCTGGCTGGCTGTGCGTGGAAAGGCTGGCCTGGATTCAGGGGGCCACTGGGTGGGTGTGACTTGTTGGCAGGGAGGTCAGGCAGTTATCAGAGAAAGCAAGCACTTTGGGGGGTTCTTGCTCTTAAAAACCTGATGATGTCACAGCACCTGGTGGCTCTGCTTGCCTCCTGCTTAATAAGCTCCTGTGCCACCAGAAGGGATCCCACATAAGCCCTTGGCCCTTGACAGCTGAGCCTGTAGACTGAAGTCCCCTCAAGTGATCTGATGCCTTTATTTTAGCCTTTTATAATGACTCCATGTGTGTGTGTGTGTCTGTTGTGGGAAGTGGGACTTACATTTCCTCCAAATGTGTAACTAGGCAACGGTGTCTTGACATGGCATAGTCAGTCACTGTCTTTTCCCAGGGACCTAGACACCCATCTGTCCCAAGTTCCCTGCATTCAGGCCAGCCCTCTGGACCTGCTCTGCAGGGCTGTGTGCTGTGCAGCTGGCTGGGGGGAGAGCCTGTCACTTGGCCCATCCCTGCCCACCTATCTCCTCACTCTTCTGAGACACTGCAGATGGCACAGAGCCGGAGCTCCTAAGCCACTGTTCAGTCATGGGACCCAGAGATCTTTGTGGTCAACAGTGTGTTCAAGTGTGCTTCTAGGGGACTGGGTCTCAAGAGCAGGGCAGGGGTGGGGGACTTGATTTAGATGGGTACATTCGAGGCAGCTCAGGGAAAGGTAGCTCGCAGCAAGCCTCATTGTTCATGCTTCATACCAGGCCCTGTGCAGAGTGCTTCCGAGTTGCTGCTCGAAGTCTTGGTCCACAGTAGATACAGCTGTTGCCCATTTTCCAGATGAGGAGCATAGAGGTGTAACTCGAGGCGGGTAGAAACTGCCCTCAGCCCTGCCAGTCAGACTTGGGGTTCCAGCAGGCAGAGTTCTGCTTCCCTGTTTGGCTGCGGTGTGGAAAGTGGGAGATGGGCGGGGGGCAGAGGCTAGTGTGCTTCTGTGGAGCTAGGTCCTTCTCTTTTGATGTGTGATGGCTGCTGTGTGGGTGGACGGGGCTCTTGTTCGACTGCCTCGCAGGTCTCTCCCCAGTGCCTTGTCTGGGACACTGTGTGGCTCTTTCCTCTCAGTCTGTGCTGCTGATGGCGTGGTCCCTCTTTATGGCTGCAGGGTTTTGAGGCTTGCTTTGAATGCTTTCCCACTGAAAATATTTTCCTGTATTTCCTGCTGTTTTGTAGTTTTACATTTGAATTGTGACTGGATCTGGGATTTTTTGGGGCCTGAAGGCAAAGCAAGTATTTTGGGTTTTTTTTTTCCCATCCCCAGTGGAAAAGGCAGCCTGGCAGCTGCCCCTGAGGTTCTTCGCTTGATCCCCACCTAGCTCCCCATCCCTTCTCTTCTCCTGCCACATAGTCCATAGTTGCCCATGACTGAGGGTTTCCTGACCTTAAATGCCCCCATTCTGCTCCCAGGACTGGCTCTGCCTCTGAATTCTTACCAATGTGTCAGAGGAGAGAGCAGGCGACCACAGCTTTCCTCTCAGCTCCTCTCAGCTCTAGGCTTTCTCAACAGAGGGTTCCCCTGGGGTTCAGAAGGGAAGGACACCCCTTTTATCAGGTCATCTCTGGGACACACATTTACACATGAACTGTTAGTTTTTGTGGGTTTTGTCCTGGGGAATCAAACCCAGGCACTAGGCATGCTAAGCACATACTCTGCCATTGATCTGCATCCCCAGCCTCTGTCAGCTGTGTTTAAGGTACCATTGGACAGTAAGAGTGATCACCATCTGAAGTGGAAAAGGAGTTATCTAAAATCTGCATGATAACGATGGCAAAGAATGACTCTTTATCCCCTGTCTACTTTCTCTGGGAACATAGCTTAACCTATGCTCATGAGATGCCCTGCTCTTAGGGCATCACCTACCCTTTGCATTTTGACCAATGTGGTCATGTTACTGTGTCATTAACAGGCCTACCTTTACCACAGTTTAGACTAGCACATCTGTTTGGTCAGTAGAGCCTGCTCTAGATGGCATCATATTTTCCTTTAAAGGTCATTGTTCTTAAGTGATCGCTAATTAACTAGTTTATAGATTGTACCATTTTAAAAATTAATTGTAAACCAGGCTCAATAGCTCATGGCACACCTGTAATTCCAGCAGCTCAGGAGGCTGAGGTAGGAGGATCGAAAGTTCAAAGCCAGCCTCAGCATCTTAGGCCCTAAGCAACTCAGTGAGACCCTGTCTCTAAATAAAATACAAAGTAGGGCTGGAGATGTGGCACAGTGGTTGAGCCCTGAGTTAAATCTCTGGTACCAAAAAAAAAAATTGTATTTAACCAAAGCCAATGAAAAACCTGCATCAGGGTTCATATTTCAGCCCACAGTGGGCCTTTAACATGGAATCTAATTTATTGGGGAATCTAAATACAACTTTAATCATGGGGCATTTATCCTGAAGTGTGAAGGATGTTATTAATTCAGAAAATTAAATTTGAGAATTAAGCCCTTTAAATTTTATGAAGGATGAAGCCCCTAAACTACAATAAGCTTGTTGGATTCGTGAGCACTCTTTTTTTATTGTTGTTGTTTGTTTATTTATTAATCCTTTGTTGTTTATTTTTTATGTGATGATAGGGATTGAACGCAGGGAGGGCCTCATGCATACTAGGCAAGTGCTTTATCACTGACTATCTCCCCAGCCCATTAACCACTCATTCTTTTCTTTTTTAAAGAGAGAAAGAGAATTTTTTAATATTTATTTTTTAGTTTTCGGTGGAAACAACTTCTTTATTTTATTTTTATGTGGTGCTGAGGATCGAACCCAGTGCCCCGTGCATGCCAGGTGAGCACGCTACCACTTGAGCCACATCCCCAGCCCAACCACTCATTCTTAATGAGAAAAATTTCCAGTTTTATATGCATGGGATTTCCATGCACCTTTCCAGTGCTGATCTCTCTTGAGATACTGAAGGCATTTTGGGTGTGTGGCTCCCAGCTCTCGGTCTGACAGGTTGTGTGTGGGCCAGAGTGGCAAGTGCACTGTGTGGTGGAGTGACTCGGTGGCCCTGGGGAGGGAGGAGGCGGGCTATGAGTGCCAGTCGTGAACTGATAGCAAACCATCAAGGACTCTCCTGCAGGGTGACCTGGCTGCCTTAAGGATAGGACACCATGCTTCAGGTGGGGGTGGCATCCTGCTGGAGCCTTTGCCAGGACCTGAGAAGAGCAGAGGTGGTGGGGCACTGAAGAGACTTGGCGGGAGCTCCTCGTATGAGCTTGCACTTGCGTGTTCAGGTGTTGGAGGACTGTTTGGCAGCAGGGAGCCTCCAGGCTCTAAAGCCTAGTCCTAGCAAGACAGGAAGCAAAGGGATTCTTAGGTCCTTGGGAAACATGGAAGTACATGCTTCTCCCCTAGAAAAATGCATGTGTGCAAAATTTGCATACCCCTTCAGAAGATTCACCAGTCCCTGGAGCCCACCATGGAACCCTGGTTGTATGGAAAGGTATTAGTTTGGTGCATAAGAAGATTCGCTCCCCTGGGTTCTGTCCAAAGGCAAAAAACGGTGTGCCTCGGCAGGTGTGTTCTTCCCACCAACACCAGTGAGATCCAGAGATAGGGTATTATGTCCCTGGGACAGCACCAGCCTGGGCTCCCAATTGAAGGGTTTCTTGAGATAAACAGTAAAACCAGTGTGCAACCAACTGTGTGGTTAGGGGAAATGACGACAGATGAATGACTTGAACGTGTGTGTTTTCTCTTAGCCACCAACAGCCAAGATGCATGCCATCATCGAGCGTACAGCCAACTTTGTGTGCAAGCAGGGAGCACAGTTTGAAATAATGCTGAAAGCCAAGCAGGCACGGAACTCGCAGTTTGATTTCCTGCGCTTTGATCACTACCTCAACCCCTACTACAAATTCATCCAGAAAGCTATGAAGGAGGGGCGGTACACAGTGCTGGCAGAGAACAAGAGTGAAGAGAAAAAGAGTACGTGACCCTGGCTGTGTCCTGTTGGACCTGGGTGTGGGGTGCCAGTGGAGGACCAGGCTTTGGGGTCCCTGTGTTTTTCATGAACTCCTGCTGGCATACGACATGAAGCTCCCAGCTGCTGTCCTACACATGGTGACATGCAATTAAATGCTGGTAGGATCTGAAGGTGGCCACCTGGGCTGGAGCCTTCCCTCTCCTTTTGCTCAGCATTCTGTAGAGAGAAGGGTCGTTCCATGCTTCCATTAAATCATTTTCCTGGTATGAGTCTGCACCTCTGTTCAGAGAGTGAAGTTAAGTTGTGCACTACAAAAAATGAACGGTTCTTACTTGAAATGTATGTCTGAAGCTTTTATATTTGTAGGTGTCTCTGTTTTGAATTCTTATAAGGCCACTTGCCTCTATTTGGAGTAAAATCCAGGGGTCAGTCTGCGTCTTCCATTGAATCTTGTAATCAGATGTTTCGCATCAGTTAGCACAAGTCTTCTTCCCGCCAACCCCCAGTGCTGGGAGGACTGAGCCCAGGCCTTGTGTGTGCTAGGCAGGTGCTCCACCCCGAGCCATGCCCACACCATTGTGTAAATCTTAATACAGATTTCACCTCCAATTTTGTTGTCTTTTTTTTTTTTTTTAAATTGGTGTTATTTTACTTCCCCTTTACAGTAAGATTTTGCCCCCTTTTTTCCCTCAATGATAAAAGCTCTTTCATTGCTCCCAGACTAGTAAATGCTAGAGGGAGACATGAAATGGCCAAGGGTCCTGCTTTCTACTTCCTGTCTGGCTTCCTCTGACCAACTTGGGTGTCCATAGGGAGTATTCTCCACAGGTATTGGTAGACTGATAACCCAAAAATGGCCAAATGTAGCTATGCCCTTGTCTGCTGCTGAGTTCTTGGAGGATTTTTTGGTACATTTTTCCTACCACACACCAGAGTCTTTGTTGTCATTCTAGCTGTACTTATTTGTGCAATGAACTATGATAACGTGATGCATGTAGACGGTTACACCAGAATCTTGATTTTGATTTCAGAGTCAGGCACAAACTCTGACAATGAAGATGAGGATGATGAGGAAGATGGGAGCTACCTACACCCGTCTCTCTTCGCCTCCAAGAAGAGCAGCCGCCTGGAAGAGCTGATGAAGGTCTCTCTCTTGTTATTGAGCTATAAAATTGATGCTGGTTTAGTTTGGAAAGTATCAAGTGTGTCACTTCTAGTGTGTTGCATCTGTGTCTTCCTTGGTTGCCCCTGAGTGATGTTGTATTCAGTTGGGTGACAAAGCTTTCTGCATGTCTATTTCATAAGCAAATTATTTTTGGTTTTTTGTATTTTTGTCCCCTGGGATAAGAAGAATGTTGAAGAAGACTAAGCAGTAGTGTAGGTTCCATTACAGGATTGGATTTTATGGGTGTTCTGCAGATCTGCTTCTTGAAGTCCTTAGTTACCTTCATAGATGGTTTCTCAGTAAATGTTTCTGCAGCTAATCTTCCTTCATCCTTACAAAGAAGCCACCAGCACTGTCTTAGGGTTCATTCATACACCTGTCTTCCATATAAGGTGTAAGGACACAGAAGTCTGAGATTAGGAATATGATTTTCAGCAATTGTGTTGTGTGGCCAATCCCTGGAGGGAATCATTCTTGATTGGATGATTAAAAACCGTTGGTTTAAAATCAGAAATTTATCTGAGGAAGGACAGTTTCAAGTTTTTTATGAGCTTCTCACACTTCCAGGAGTAGCAGTCCAGTCCTGACACACCCTCCTTTGCTTAGTGGGCATTATGGAGAGAGGCCATGTGCTCTCTCAGTTCTTCTGGGACTCACAACTAGCTGGAGCACAAGGCCACAATTCACCAGGACCTCCTGTATGTGTGCCCAGGGAGGGGTTCAGGACCCAGCAGAAGATTGCCTGGAGTCTGTGGGCTCTGACAGGTGGCTGCACATTCAGGAGGTCAAAGGAAGACAGGGTTTTCAGAGCCATATAGCACCTGGTTGCAAGGATCACGAAGAGGGTGCCAGCACCAGAGAGACAGGCAGCTGCCAGGCCCACCTCCCACAGAAGCTTCTGCAGAGCTGTGGTTCTGGAGGCCTGTGCCACCAATCCTGTCCTTTAGCTCCCAGTTTTGCATCACTTGGGGCCTGGTATGACCTCCCCTGGGCATTGTTAGCATTCTCTGTGTGTGTGCCTATCCAAATGCATGCACGTGCATTGAGGTTGCTCTAAGGTGTACACAAAAGTGGAGCTGAACCTTTTTTTAATGGGATAGTTTGTTGTGGCCCAGAACACAGAAAATGCTAAAACCGTGTCTTCTCTGTCCTTAGCCCTTGAAGGTGGTGGACCCGGATCACCCCCTGGCAGCCCTGGTCCGTAAAGCACAGGCTGACAGCTCTGCCCCAACCCCAGCTGCAGACGGGGCGCCTGTGCAGCCCTCCCAGGTGGAGTACACAGCAGACTGTGAGTACTCACTGTGCGTTCTGACCTGCATCCAGCTGCAAGGCCCAGCCCCCAACCACTGTCCTCATGTCCAACCCGGGGTGTGTTGCCCTGAGAGAGGTGCCTTGACGAGGGGCAGGACGGCTACTGTGCCCTGTACCAGCTCAGCATTCCAGCAGGGACAGAAAACAGTAACTTGTCCTACCCTTCTGAAGTCCCTCCCAGAAGCCACACTGTGACTTCGGTGCCCCTTAATTGACTAGAGCAGTGTTCCATGGTCTCCCACCTAGAGCACAAGCCAGAAAATGGGGCCTGCAGTCGGGCACAGCGCTGCCCCAGTCAGAGCTCTGCTAAGAGAAGCAGATGCAGGTGCTGGGTGGACATAGTGTTACCTGCCCTGTGGATGGTGTCATGAGACTGTTGGCACTGATAGCCAGGATTGGGTGGACATACAGTTCTGTTGAGAGTGGGAGGTAGGTTGTCTGCCATGGTTGCTTTCTTTAACAAGACATGGTGTAAGGTAGTATGGATGGTCATCCTGCAGCATACCTGCAGAGTATGGGGCTCAGGACCCTGGCAGTTCTGGTGAACCCAAGCATGCTCAAGTCCCTCCTGCAGACTTTATGACCATCTGCAGAGGACTTAGGAAACCTAACAACACAGGTGCTGGGTCAGCAGTTGTTACACTGTATTGTACAGGAAGTAATGAGGAGAAAAAGGTTTGCAGTTTTCAGTGCAGACACAATGTTGTTTTCCCCTGAATATTTTCAAACTGAAGTTGGTTGAGCCTGTGCACCAGAAGCCTGATGGCGCAGGGAGCCAGCTGCGTCATCGCACAGCACAGCACAGCACAGCACAAAATAGCTAGCCGGTCTTCCTCCTCTCTTTTCTTTTTCCTTTCCTTATTTCCTGGTGCTGGGGATGGAACCCAGGACCGTATGCATTCGAGGCCAGTGCCTCACCACTGGGCTGTACTCCAGCCCTACATTGCTTTCTTCTGTTTCTTGCTGATTGCCTTCGTCTTTTTAATTATTTGGAGATTATTGATTCAGGGGTCGTTTGAGTGTTTTGGCCCTGGTCTCTGTGCCAAGTCTTGGGGTAGTTAATCTGTTCCAAGGCTGAGGGGGCCTGAGGACGTGCAGCAGAGAGGAGTTGGCCTGCCCAGTGCCTCCTGCAGGCCTGTGTGCTGAGTACACCTGGGAAGTGACACTGGGTCAGCCGGCCGGGTTCTGAAACGCACTCTGCTGTTTATCTGAGCCAGCTCTGGCCGTGCGCTGGCACCGCCCTCTCGCACCTTCCTCTCAGCTCTGGACTACTGATGTGCCATTTCACTGTGCTAACTCCACATTCGCAGGCTATAAAAATCAGTCACTTCCCTGAACTTTGTGCACATGTCCCCAGAAAACCTCTGAGATTCAAGAATCAAGTAATTTCCTTAAGTGATCAAATCAAGATTTGTGAGTGCTGCAGTCAGATCTCACATGGCAGAGCTGCATTTTGCTTTAGGTCCTGCGTCAGCTCCTGGTGTCAGCATCAGAAGGCAGCTGTCCCCAGTGTCTCTGACAGGCACCCTGTGTGTGGCCTGCCCTTAAGCCCTGAGCTCCATGTGGCCTCATGTAAAGTCTGCACAATTGGAAGCAGCAGAGGCTCTATACAGTCCCTGTGCATGCCACAAGGGCACCCTCACCCTCTCCCTTTCAGGCCTGCCTTGAGTCTGCCCACGTGGAGGACAGCGTCCAGGCATGTCCACGGCACCCCTGCACATCACTGCACTGCTCTGCAGGACAGCAGTAGGAATTGGGGGTTTGGGATGCTGCCCACCACTAGTAGACAGTCGGGGTGCAGTATGTAGCACGGGGCAGGATGGTGGAGCAGGCTGAGAGTGGCTGCGGTGTGACACAGCAGCCCACACGTGGTGGAGGTGGTGGCCCAAGCCCAGCCATGGCAGTATGGGACATTAGCCAGTTGGGCAGACTTCAGGCAATGCCTGGCAGGGCTCCCAGGGCTGGCCTGCAGGAGTTGACTCCTGCCTCCTGATCCTGCAGTATGCACAGTCCTTGCTTCAAAGTCCTCCCTTTTTTTACACAGTGAGAGTGATGAACACCTGGAAGAATAGGGCAGGGGGTTGTCTGGAGTTTTGTGAGGGCATGCAGCTCTGACCTAGGTTTATAGTTGCAGACACACACTCCTGCTTCCACTCCGCTATCAGCCTGGCACTGAGAGTCCCTTCAGAGAGTGGCAGCCTTCCAGGCCACCACCACACCTGCCTATCCAGATCCAAGGAGGTCATAACCTGGGAGAGGTGGCCTGGTTCCAGTTTCCTAGGAGAACTTGGAGCTGGAACTTGGGATCTGAATCCCAATGGAACCTGCCAGAATTCCCAAAACTCCTGATTTGGGGTTCCCAGCATCAGGAGTCCCTGTGGGTCAAGGGCTCTGCCTTATGCTGACCTGGAGGCCGTAGCACCCTGGCATGAGGCCACTGTAGGTAAATGCGGCCCACACAATGCCTACCTTCCCTCCCTGTCTGGCTTCGCTGGGTGCCTGCTCACCTCTGCCAGCTTGATGCTGTTTCTCACTGTCCTCTGAAATGTCTCATCTCTGAGTCGTCGAAGTCCCTGCATCTCTGGTGACTGTTGTCGCCCTTGCAGCTTTTGCATCAAGTAGCTCAGGGACCTGAAGCTCTCTTGGTGGTGTGTTGTTGATGGGGCAGCTGTGTCTGCCGAGTCAGTCAGGCTTGGGTGCCTACAGTCTGACTGACAGCTGTGTGTGAGGCTGCTGTCTTGTGACGAGCCACTGAGAAGGCCTGACTTGTCACAGTTGTTCCAGGGGAAGAACACCAATCCTGCTTTTCAGTCTTAGTCTCTTGCACTAAGGAGTCTCCCATTGCGGTGTTTAGGGTGCGTGAGTGCTGACAGTGACGACCCACTGTGTTGGAGATGGTGGACAGGAGAGAAGCACGCGGAAATGCCAACTGGCTCACAGCTGCCCCTGAGAGATGGCACCCAGCTTGAATTTCTTCCTTGCACAGTTTTATTCTCCAAATCGTCAGGAGTGTGCATTGCTGTTGTGCTTTCAGAGATTCGTGGGCTGATCGGTGTCTGGAAGGGTCTGTGTGAGGACCTGCAGCTCCTCCTCCCTGGCCAGGATAGCCTTGTGCTTCCTCAGGAAGGCCCTGAGCTGAGCCTGGTGGGCCTCGAGGCAGAGCGTGCTGGGTGTGGCTGTCGGTAATGACTGCTGGGGCTATGCTTCCAGAAGGATCCTCCTGCCAGGGACACACTTTGCTTTTCCCCTTCTTTCTCTGCCTCAGCCTGTCCTTGGTTGTGTTCCTATGGGTTTTCACACAAGGTCTGTCCCTCTGGGGTCTCCAGCATATTGTCTTGCTGTCCCTTGTACAGCTGGCTTTGTGCAGGAGTGGGATACCATTCACAGGCATTAGGTGGCTTTTTGAAGAGAGCTTCATTTGTAGACTTTTCACTTGAGAAATTATTAGAAAAGCTATCATGAAAATTACTGAAGTTTCACTTTTTGAGGGGCCCTTACCTGGGCCAGAGCTGTGGACATGTGGAGTCTGGAGAGAGGGCCATTGGCTCTGGCTGGCGGGAAAGGGCTGAATCTGCACCCAGCACTTGACCACCTGTCCCAGTAACAGAGAAGCCGTGTGCCGGTGGGAGTGTGACTTGCGGAAGGCACGGCCCGTAGTGGAAGTGGGGCTCTGTGGCCTGTCCTGCAGCCACAGCTATGGGAAGTCCTCCTTGGGCTGGAGAGGTGACGTCTGTCATCAAGTTCCTACAGGTGTACCTGCTGTACATCTCTTTACTTCTGACCTTGGAGGAGAGTAGACTGAGAAATGTTGCTGGTCTCAGCCTTGCGTCCAGCTTCAAGGCAGTGGTGGCTTTGTGGGCGTGGGAGTGGTTCGTTGTGCTAGAGCCACTCTGACAGGCCCAGGCCAGGGAGGGTGGCGCTTGAGCCTTCAGACATTTCTATGAGCACTGCCCCCATGGTGCCCATGGGAAGCCAGCCTCACCAGCTGTGGCTGTGGGGAAACCTGTCACAATGTGTGCAGCAGAGCCATGAGGAGACAGGCTGCCCATGGCACGGTGGTGTCGGTGGTCTCAGTCTTGACGGGCAGGACCAGTCTTGAACAGGCAGGGGTGGACCTGAGTCATACCTTCCCCCAGGCGTGGCTTCAGGCCCTAGGTGTGGAGTTTGGCAGATTTCAAGACGCTAGTGCGCACACCTGGTTTTTGCTGTGATCTATAGCATTACTAACTTTGGGTAACTGGTGTGGGGAACAACAGTGAATGAGATCACCTTCCAGTCCTGGCACCTCAGATTCTGACCAACCACTGCATTCACTGTGGCTTAGGTGGGGTCTAGCTCGGATAGCAAGGGTCTTCTTTGTGGGGCATGCCCCTAGGGCTGAGTTACACTCACCTGTCCCTTGTAGTCCTGCCCCTTCTGCCCTTTTTTGTTTGAGTAGAACTTTCTAAGAACAGGAGTCCCCCCAATAAAAGAGCACTTCCCAATGTGCTCTCTCACCAGCCTCTCGTGACTTTCTCTCACTCTCCCTTTTGGGGATCCTGAGGCTGAGAGCGGGGAAGCCGTCCTGAAGCTTGTGTAAAGGTAAATTGTGTCTGTGTTTTATTTGGTTTCCTTGCAAATTCACATGAACAATCTTAAGTTCAGCTGCCCACTGGTCGGGGTGGCATTTTGGTAAGAGAACAATGAACTTGATTGTCTAGCAGACCAAGACCTAACCCAAGGGCGCTCTAGAATGAAAGGGACTAGGATCAGAGAGGCTGTGGGGGGTCAGAATGATGGCCACCACCTCAGTCTTTTCCTTACTAAGCTGGTTCAGTGTATGTTACACGGGTGCATTGAGCAATTGTGTGTCAGTCTTTCTGTGCGTGTGTGGATCCTCCCCACAGACACTAAGCTTTTCAAGGATGAAGACCACATCTGACCTACTGGCCAGGGTGTCCCCTCGCCTCCTTCCACAGGGACACGGGTTCTCAGGAG